AATTATTGATCTCTTAGAAAAATCATAATAAAGATACTACCCTCAGATAAATCAAAATTTGAATGATTTAAGATGGGAACTCGAAGATCATTCCCGTCATTTGCAAAGCTATTTTTGGTACATAAGCCTTTTTTTATATTCTCTAGTTTTTTGGTAGAGTGTATTCGAAAAATAATTACTTTCTCTGTTTCATATGTGACTTACTTTTGTTTTTAGTCAGTTTGTTTCAAAAAGAGAGACACATTTCTATATTAAGTAACTATTTAACTATAAAATGTTTTGTTTACTCTTAATGAAATGATTTATAGTCACACAAAATTCTATCATTCATTTAATTGAACCACAAGTTTTAAAAGTCTTTTTTTTTTAAATTTTGTGTCAAGTCAAACTACCACCCATAAAATGGGATGGAGAAAGTATACATTAACTTTGTATATTATTAATCGGAGTTAGTTCCCTAAATGATCACTCAAGTATTGTAAATTGTGTTCAAATATCAGTTTTGTTTCATTTAGGACCAAAATATGACTTGTTTCTTCAAAATATACTTATACTTCAAAAATCTCCTTCTCTCCTAGCTTTCAATTTAATCATATGAATTATCATTGATCATTAAGAAAGTAAAGAATATGTTTTGAATCTTATAGTCTTAAAATAAAGATATGTAAAAGATACTAAAATGTCACTTATTCATGTGGCTTTTAAACATTCAATACGCAAAGTTAAAATTAAAGACTTAGCCAAAAAGAAGTTATTTTTTTTAGGAAAAAAAAACTAAAAAAAGACAAACAAATTGAAATGAGACAATACAAAATAATTTTTCTAAAGAAAATCTCTAATAATTCTATTTATTGTTTTAAAACACGTACATCAAATTTCAGGACCTCAGATAGATACCTCATTTTCTAACCCTAGAGTCGACTTTGTAAATAGGTCATGGAGGTTCCACAGTCCATCTATGTTCTAATTGACAAAAGTTGATACTCAATTTCTTCATAGAGATCGTACATTTCTGTGTTATCAGAAGACATTGTACGTGCAGTCGCCAAAGTCCATCTACGCTTTCATTAAAAAAAATTGAATCTCAATTTCCTCATAGAAGCATGATATTTTCGTGTTATCAAAAAATGTCATATGTGAATGTGGAAAGTCCATATGCGTTCTCACTGACAAAAGTTGAATTTCGATTTCCTCGTAGAGACCTGACGTTTCTGTGTTATAGAAGATAAGACCAATTCTTATTAACAATCTAAATCTATTTAGTAATCAACTTGATTTATTTTATGTGTATTGATACAAAAAGGGCTATTTACACAACATACAAATATTTTTGTATCAATATTTATTATTTTTTTCTTTTATTGTTTTGCACATATAAATAAACGTATCTCGTTCAATGAATAGTCATGCATTCATATAGCTATATGTAATTGTCTTTCGATTGATGTTCAATGTTAGAAGCATACATATTAATTAATAATTGCAACTTTGCATCTAAATCATAAAATTATGGTTTTTGCACTTGATTTTACAATATATTCACTACTATATCTTCTTCCTTTTTTACCCCTCCCTAGTTGCTTCCTTTTTTTTTCTCCCTTGGTGACTCGAACTAACAACTTTCAAGCTGAAAGTGAGAGGTGTTTATCATCAGAACAACTCTCTCTCATCATATATTACTATATCTATTTTTTTGTCATAATTTTCAGTTTTGTTATCCATAGTTTCGTGTTTTGATTTCACATAATGTGAATTGTTCCATAGTTTCATTAGCTCTTCTATATTTTAAGAAATCTTAAACCAACCTAACATTATTTTCATTTGTGCATATTATATACTGAAGCGATTCTAATCTCATATATTAGGGACTTTATTTTTTTTAGTGCAAAATAACTAACAAAAGATTTTATTCAGTGTCACAAAACCAAGGGGAAAATGTTGGTGGTAAGTTTCACAATGCCCTTTCTTTTAGTTTTTACAACTAGGTTTACACTGCTATAATATAGAAATCTAAACATGTCATTGTTTGGTGAATGTCTGAAATTATGCTTGTCTAGACTTCTGTTATCATTCATATTTGATAGCGAAAAAGCATGTCTATTTTTTAATAAATTTATACCAATGTCCATTAGTCCAAAATAGATGTTATCTTCATCTGGTTTTGCGGCCACTTGGTACTCTATTCAATTTATTGTACCATATAGACTGTTTTTGGTACTATTCGTTTGTGATGTGTTAGTCCATCAACTCCCAATTTTATATAGGAGCAATAATAATATACATTTCTATTTCTTTTGGAATAATGCACAAGTACCCCCTCAATCTATGCCCGAAATCCCATAGACACACTTATACTATACTAAGGTTCTATTAACTCCTCTAAACTTATTTTATAAATAATTTTCTACCCTTTTTAGCTTACGTGGCACTAGTTTGAAAAAAAAGCCAACCATCGTTGGGCCCACAAGATAGTGCCACCTAGGTCGAAAAGTGGTAAAAAATTATTAATAAAATAAGTTCAGGGGTAATAGAACCTTAGTATAGTATAAGTGTGTCTATGAGATTTCGGGCATAGGTTGAGGAGGTACTTGGGCATTATCCATTTCTTTTACAAAAATAGACTAGCAATGGAATTCATTTCATGGCCATTCTCTTTGTAGTTTCACAATTACTCTTATATATATATATATTATATATGTAATAGATGATGTTACTCACATTTTATATCGTAATTTTTTTTAACAAAAGACAAAAAAACAACATATATAATAGTTACACAAACACAAATGTATATCGTTTCCAACCTAAATTTCGACTCGATCCCACTAAGTGTGACAATCCGAAAGTATCTAAGGCCTCCTCAGATGGGCTATGGTAAGTCAACCCAGAGTTTCTTTCCACCAGAGAACACAGAGAGTATTGAATTAAATACTGAAGTGATTGAAAAAAGGAAATGGGAAAAACAAAAAAAGTCAACTAATGTTAAGGGGAAAAGAGGGTGTATTTGTGAACTTATTTTATGGATTGATTTAATATATTTTACGGCTATCAAATTGGAGTTGAGAGTTCAAGAAATAAGGATTAAAGAAATTGAGGAATTTATAAATTCTTATGATTTTATATCATGATTTTTCATCGCATGGCTAAACAAGTCCCAGATGATTTATTTGATTTTATTATTCTTTTCGTTTAAAAAAAAGAATGATCCTATTTTCTTTTTAGTATGTTTAAAAAAAATAATCCATTTTTTTTTGGCAGCAACACTTTAACTTTAACTTTCCACGTGACATGTTTAAGACCACAAGATTAAATGATATTTTGGTACATTTGACATAACTTTAATTTAGAACCACAAGATTAAAAAGTCTTCTTTCTTTTTTAAAACTCCGTTTCAAGTCAAACTAGGTCATACTTTTTTAAACGAAGAGAGTATTGTTTACTGTCTTTTCGTTTTTAAAAGTAGATGTCGATCTTTTTAGATTGAAAAATTTATGCTTTGTAAACGATTTGTTTATTAAGATAATAATTATTTATCCTCAAATAATTCAAGTGAAAAAATAACAATTATGACAACAAAATTGTTCTTCTCCTAGCTAGTTAGAAGATTATAAAAAATATTATTATCCGTCAATTATCTATCTTAAGCCAATTACTCACTCTGTTTAAAAAAGAATGATCCTATTTCTTTTTTAGTCTGTTACAAAAAGAATGACCTATTTTCTTTTTTGGCAACACTTTAAATTTAACTTTCCGCATAACATGTTTAAGCCACAAGATTAAAAGGTATTTTGGTATATTTTGACATAACTTTAATTTAGAATCACAAGATTAAAAAGTTTTATTTCTTTTTCTTTGAACTTCTTTCAAGTCAAACTAGACCATTCTTTTTTAAACGGAGAGAGTACATGAAATAGAAAATTTCATAATAATTTAATTACAGAATTTTGATTCAAACACAAGATGAAGTGGGCAACGAATCAAACACTCGATAAAAAAAAACCCTATATTACTAGTTCTACGTTACTAATCTTTGGGTTATTAATTGGAAGAATGACAAAAATTCCACCTTAAAGTTTTCTTATTACCATTATTCCCTATAGTTTTATAAATTCCAAAATTCCTTCTTTTCACGTATCAGATTAATGTATCAATGAATCAAATTAATGTATCTCACACATTAAATTTATGTATGTCGCGCATCAGATTAATATATCTCACGCAACAAATTAGTGTATCATGTATAAAATGTACATCAGATTAGTATATCACGTATAAAATGTAATGTATCTTACTTAACGGTTAATGTATCTCGCGCATCAAATTAATATATCAACGCTTACATTATTGTATCAGTTTGAGGGATTTCTGTTATTATAAACTTATAAGAGACAAATGGTAATTTTACCTTTAAAGTGTGTGATTTCTGTCATTTGCCCTTATTAATTTTAGGGAAAAGGCTCAAATATGCCATCGAACTTTCAGAAAAGGTTCATTTATGTCATTCGTTAAAAGTTTGGCTCATCTATGCCATTACCGTTTAAGAAAAGACTCATTCATGCCATTATTTTTTAACAGTAATTTTGCAAAATCATTTTTCACACGTGGTCAATTGTAATTCTAAAAAGATTTGAATTAATTTTTTAATTAAATAAATTAGTGACGTGATCGATTATAATTAGCAATGTCATCAATTTTTTTAATTAAAAAATCAAAATTCTAGAGAAATTAAATTACTTTTTTTTTGATTTTTTAATTAAAAAATCGATGACGTGATTGAATTATAATTGATGTGTCAAAAATAATTTTATAAAATTAAATGAGTCTTGCCTTTAAGATAATAACATAAATGAGTCAAGCTTTTAATTGATGACATAAATAAGTATTTTCTCAAGACCCGGCTCTAACAAGTGAGACTGACCTGGCATATTGTCAACCTATGGTGAAAAAAAATAATAATTTCATACTTTTTTGGATAATTAAAGCCGTTAACTTTTGGTTTAATGCTTAATCGGTTTTCTACTTTTTCACTCTGACATTGAACTCGAGAGAAAAGGGATTTGATTTTTTTATTCTCTTTTATAATATGGGCTCGGAGACGGGTTCATCGCCGTCGTCTGCTCCGGCGATCGCAACAGCAGCAGCGGCATCGTCATCATCAGCAACATCGTCCCCAACTGGTACTGGTAAGAGAAATAGAGACCCAGAAGACGAGGTTTATGTCGATAATCTTCACTCTCACAAACGTTATCTTAGTGAGGTTTTGCCCCTTCTCAAAATCTACTCTTTTTATGTTGTTGAAATGTGTATGTGGAATTAGAGCCGATTTTGTTAACATACAATTTCAAGTTTGTAGACCTTTCGAGGGTTTAAATTTCTTACATTATTGAATTGCGTTTTTAGAATGAAACGGATTTGAGCAGAGCAGGTGGGATAAATATAGTTAATTACAACTAGTTTAGGATTGAGATGTGGCTGATAGACTTTTTAAAAGATGGTGCTTTCTTAATAATGTCAACAAAGTGTGTAAATGTTATTGTAGATTCTTATGTTAAATATAATTATTGAAATTGCGTTTGTTGTTGTTGCTATCAACGGAAATGCATGTTCTTTGGCTGTGATTTCAGCCTTCATGTGCTAATTTCTTCGGCTTTCTGAAGTAACTTGCGGAATTTTGCAGATAATGGCATCAAGTTTAAATGGATTGACAGTGGGAGACACCCTACCAGATAATATAGTGGATTCTCCATCAAGATCCGAAAGCATGCTCTATATCAGGTGATGAGTTTTGTACTACATTGGAAGACAGATATTAGTACATAGTTAAGGATGGGAGCAAGTTTGGTTTCTCATTGTGGAGAGAGTTGCTTTTAGTCCAACTTCAGTTACTGTTGGAAGTCTGGAATGACACTCTGACCTTGAGATATTATGCTTTACGTGCAAATCCTTTATTGACTCACATGTTCATGATAGTTCATTAGCATGTGATTGTGTTTAAGGTGAAGAAGTCCCCCGATAGGTACCTTGCATTAGTTTATAGAATTTACTGCTTAGATTATTTAGTTCCTTGTGGATATTTTACTGTTTTTACTTATTACATTAATGCACTTTTGTGCTTATAAGTCTTCTTCTCTTATACAAACAAAAGAAATAGTAAAGAGAGAGATAAGGAAGAATTTTCCATTGCAGATGAGAGATTGCTTTCCTGTTAATTGCCTTTACTTCTTGGTTCTTTACTCTTTCTCTCTCTGTCTGTATGACTGCTTTAGGTTTGTCTTACTCTTAACTTAAATCGAAGGAGGTTTGCTGGACGATGGGGATTTTGAAATCTCTCTCCTTCAGTCCTTACATCCTTGGCAGTGAGCTCATTACTGTATCAACACCTTGACCCCAAGAAGCTCTGTGAGTCCATTAAAAGACCAAGCTTAAAATTTTCTTCCTAAAAAGTGAATCTTGAGAGAACACTTAATTGTTCAGAGAGAGAGATCCATTGATACCTTTACCTAAATATTGGTGTTCGGGACATGCTACTCATATGTACTATGTAATCTTTTACAACCTTTGTTGACAGAAGTTCCATAGGTTTTAAGTAGTTTCATTTGAGAGAGTATTACTTTTGAGTTAATTGACCACTTAAACCCCTACCTTCTATAAAAACCACTCATAGTGGCTGCTTGGTATCATTCTTTGTTGAGTAATTAATCCTGCATAGATCATCTCTTAAACTAATTTTGCCCACTCTAAAGAAAAAAATAATTTACCAGAATTCAGTGATCGCTTAGTTATCGATCTCACAAAGAAGCCTGTGCTAGCTCAATCTCTCAGTACTGTGTGAAACCCAGAGATATGTTTTAATGTTGAAAGTTTTGTTGAATTTCTGAAATAACAGAATAATGCCAATTATTGCTCAGTTGGGTTATAACACAATTAAGATACTGCTTAGAAAACCTAGTCGTGAATGTCTTTCTCTTAGAACAGCAATAAATTGTGTTAGAATTTCTCCTTTTGAGAGGACTGATGTTAAATGGAGAGACAAGCAAGAATTAAAGTAGACAGAGAATTTTCTTTTCTTCTTCCCCACGTATATCAATTGCTTCCCTGCAGTGTATGCTTATGTTGGTTTAGGTTAGGTTTCCTTTAGACTTATAATCTATCATATGTTAAATTTAAAAGTTACTAGAAGGTAAATCGAACATGCTACTGGCATCTTTTGGTCTAGACCCTCCTCTAAAATAAAATAAAAAATGAAAGAGAAGCACTGTATGCTGCAACAAGTAAGTTATAGTATGCCTGATTAGCAAGGATATGGGGACTTTAATATCGAATAATATGTCTGATTAGCTTGTAATGGCCAGTTTTTGGCCATGAATGAAATACATTTACATTAAAAATAAAATAATATCCAATAACCTCCATGACTTACATGGTCTATGAAGCTGTCCAGTCCATTTCCAATATATAATTGAAACTTACCCGCCTTATTATTAATATTCTTTTTTATGACTGAAAAATCCATCTTGGCCTACCCTTAGGACCAAACACAACCTCTGAAACCGGGCTTAGTGTAAGGCTCGAACCCGTGACCTTAGTCACAAGTCTCCCTCAACCTATGCCACTCAAAGTAAGCTCTAACGGCTACGCACCTTATTCTTGTTATTATTATTATTATTATATCTTAGAATTCAATGGTTCCTTTTTCTAGTAACTGGGAAGCATTAAATAAACAAGGTTGGATGGAGAGTAGCCACCTCAATCTTTTGCTACATCCTCAAAACCTTTTTACTCATATTTCCCTTGTAGAAAGATGCTCATTCACATGACATACACACATCGTTGACCTCTTGAATTTCACTGCCATAATGTTATGCTGAGGGAGTTGGTAGGAGAGTGTTAATAGAACCTTTAAGATCTGTAAACTATTGAAACACTCTAGTGTGGGACGGCAATTATTAAGGGTATAGTTGCAAGTGAATATACTGTGGTGCGGGATTCTTCCTTGTCGGGTTTCATGTCTGCATCTTTGACAGATGAATCAGTATATATATAATCAGAACCTATCAAAACTTGTAGAAATGGGCGTTCAAAATGTGACAGCTCTTTTTGGAGTGATGGATAACAGAGGACTAGAATTCGTAGATGTCATCTGGCAGCTGTCTTTCTTTAGAGAGTGACTAATCTGCCCTGATTCTGTGATGATCAGAGTTAGATTCACTACTTTGATTCTGTGAAACCTTGTAGTGTCTGTCAGTGCAATTCTGTTAAAATGCAAAGTGTTCAGAGCTTTATATACAGAGACATTGGGAACATATCAAAGTTTACAGATGAAACAAGCAGTGGCTCAGTGTCTCCTGTCATGGCACTTGGAGTTTAGAGCAAAAAATGGTTGGCAAGGAAGTACAGGCCGTATAGTCATTTGACTTTTAAGCGTAATAGAGGGGTCACCGCTGTATGGCTTTGTAGTTCCAAAATCTTGAAAGGCGCTGACTTGCATATTTTGTTTAGAGAAAACTGATGCACCATGCAAATATTGAGGACTGTATTCTACTGTTAAATGAAACTGCAATAATCGTGCAAAAATACGTTTCCAAGTTATGATCGGCGAAGTCTTGGTCTTTTTGGTCCAGTTTAGTGTCTAAAGAGAAGTTCTTAATCCCTTTTAGAACCACACATGATGGGAAAGAACCACACAAACTACTGCATAGAATCTGTAGATAGACCAATCTATCATCATGCATGCATTTGGATTTTGCTTACTTTTGTGGAGTACATAAACATGTAATTTTGCTCTAGCTCTCTGAATTTTTCTTTGATGTAGAGATAGACTCCATGAATTCTTCTTAGATTTGAATGTCTTTACTATTTGTGACTTGACAATGTACCTCTAAGCTTATAAGAAATGTAGCATCAGATGAAGATCCTGTTTTCCCATCTCCTTGCTTATTTGTTATCAAGTTTTATTTGATTTTTTATGTTTGTTTCAGGGACGAGCTGTCCTTTCAATATTCACCAATGTCAGAAGATTCAGATGATTCACGGTGTTATGAGGCTTTGACGAACACCAGCTCACCCCAACGTGAGAGTGCACCAACTAGTCCAGTCTCACCCTACCGATATCACAGACCAATGAATGGGTTCTCATCATGCCCTCCCTCCACGTCATATCCGTCACATTCCTGCAACTTCCCTCCTGCCACATCCTCCCAGCCTCGTCAACGAGGCTCTGATTCTGAGGGTCGATTTCCATCATCACCCAGTGACATATGCCACTCTGCTGACTTAAGGAGAGCTGCACTTTTGCGGTCTGTGCAAATGAGGACTCAACCTCCTGGACCATCATCATTTGAATTGCATTTTACTCCAGGCCAGGAGCCTAATCATATGGAGACTGAGGACCGGCCTTGTTCCTACATGAAGTCTTTAGTTGACGAGAGAGAATATAAGATTGAACAATGCTCGTCAATGAGTGTATCAGCACCCGAAAATGGGGAAGATCCCTGTAGTATTTTGAATATGGGACCAAAAGAAGATGAATCTGTAGATTAAACACAGAACATGTCATTGTCAGTTACTGCTATACTTTCGAGGATCGATTGAGCCCTTCATGCTCAAAGGTAACGACTTCAGAAAACAGTCCTGTTCTATGACCACCCTCTGTTTACACTATTACCCGATTCTGCCATTGTTTTCCTTGTCTTGTTTCACTTTCCTGCCCCATGCCTATCCACTCTCAAAAAAACTTGTTTTGCAATTATAAAAACATGTACAAAAGCACAAGTATAGGAAATCTATGAGCAATTGGCCAAATAAATATACATTCATAGTGTGATATGAATTAGGATGATAAGGCATCAGAGAGGTTGATTTATTGTTTGTCGTTGATCATCAAGTAGAGAGACTTTATTTCCAGTTCAATCTTAAGCTCAGGAAAAGGTTGAATAATACAAATCACAGAATCTCCTTTCTTTGGTTCTCACACGTAATTTCCACCGAAGGTTGTAACTGTGATATAGTCATTGTTGTATATTACTTCTTTTGTTTGTGTCGATCTATCTTTATTCTTGTTTCTTAGAATTTACGGGTTCAATTTCTGCATTTCGATATTGTATCAATTAACAATCACCACAAACAGATCATCAACCAATATCTTCTTTTAAAGGGTAATCAGTCCAACAAATATGAAAACGAAATTGTAAAAATTAAAGGAATTAAAGTCGGGTTCGGTTTCAGCAGTTAATTGTAGAAGCAATGCCAAGGAGGAGGCACATGAAGGAAGGGGGAATGAAAGAGAGTTATCCTGTTGTTAGCAAGTGAAGATACTTGAATAGAGAAGTTTTGAAAATCAAGAATCAATTGTCAGATGAATCGATGATGGAAGGCAGATCTTCAAGGTGCATTATCTCCTCATGCAGCATCTGAAGATCCTCCATACACGATTTCAGCACCGACAATTCAAGCCAATCCATTTCCTTTTCCTCAAGTTGCATTTTGAGTTCTGTCAAGTAGTTGTTAATTTGTAAAGCCATCCTGCATCTATCATCCTTATTTTCAGACATGGAAGCAGATGATGAGTTGCTAGGTACTAAAGAAGCTGATAGGCAATGACCACCAACAATAGCACCATTCAACCTAAGAAGATAAAAATACATAACAAAGTTACACCAGCATATTCTTTCTAGTTAAGGCAAGGTTAAAATGGGAACAAGATGTGCAACAATTTGATTTCAGGTGGTATAATTAAAGTCTGTGACCAAATAAAGATGAAATATCATGCGTTTTCAACCAGTGTCCACCAATAATGGAAGTACAGTGTGTTCTGCTAAGGAAAAAAGGAAGGCAGAAAATGAACGGAGCAGATGCCAATATCAGTCTTCTCGTTTTTGTCTATTAATAAGGTACATGCAAAGAAAATGGAGTATGGATGCAATGGTAAGTGAAGAACTACATGGAACAATAAGGAATATGATTAATGATGCTGCTGTAATAAAGCAAAGTCATATTTGGATTGATTCCCCCCCTCCAACTTCTTCCAAAATGAAGTGAGAACAGTTTTATACTTTTGAGATGGCAAAATAATGGACAAGAACCAGCCCCCTAGCCTACAAGAGTGAAAACAGTAACAATAAGACCTTTTGTTCCAGGATGAACCACCACTTACTTTTTGAGGATCGACTCAGATTCTTTGTCATTCTCAACTGTAAATAAGGCTTCTACACTATCCTTGCTTACCCATGCCAACCCTTCTGTCGTGCCAACAGATTTACAGATCGAGTGCATCTCACTGAGGGAAGCATCATCGGGAATGTCCTCAATCTTGATAGTAACAACCATAGAAGCCCGTGGGGGTTGAATTGGAAGGCGATACCTCCCAAGATTTAGCGCACCAGCTCTAACTGCTCTATTGCGGGATTCTAAGCTCTTGCCAATAGTTAACAACAGTTAATAAACAAACTTTTCCTGATTGAGGGGGCTGAAGGCAGAAGTTCAAGAAATCAATAGCATACCTTGAATTGGATGTCCCAACAGTTAAGCCCATCGGGAAGATGCCTGACTGAAGCAGCACAGAACTTTCCGAAGACTGAAACTGCTTCTACAAGCTGAGGAAGGCTGATGGTAGAAGGTACGTTCCCAACTGAGATTGACCTCCGGACGTCCATACAAGCAGCATCTGAAGTTGTATAAGTCGACCCAGAAGCATCATCACCATTACCACACCCACTTTGATGAGGTTCATCAAGAGTTAAGACTTTTCCCTTTACGTGTTGCATGCTTTTGCTGTGAGACTTGCGAGATAATACTTCTCGACCATTATCAAATTTCTGTGACTCAAAAGGTAATGGTAACATATTCAAACCAATTAGTACATGTACCCAACCATTAGAAGTCCTATGCTATAAATAAAATCAGAAAAACATACCGGAAAAGGATCGCGCTTCTCCGTCACTAATTTCAGCTGCCCAAAAGCTCTTTCTACTGGAGGACCCAGGTCTGAGAAGTCGTTATCATCATTATGGACTTTGAATAGTAAACCCTTTGAGCTCTGAAATCTTTGGAACTGGAAGCTGGTTAACTTTAAGGTGTAAGAATAGCACAATAATCAATAATAAAGTATGATGTTTGATTTGAATAGACAGAATAAAGTCTACAAAATCAATAATCAGGAAAATCCACAGGTTGAGCTAGCAGGCAAGAGATGTACAGACAAAATACCAAGTTTTTTTTTTCTAATTTCTTTGCTTCCCAACTTTGATACCCATAGTGGCATTTCTCATGTCCCTGCTCATCTTACCAGATTATAATTATCCTACCCTAAAACCTCCAGATTCTAGTTTTCACTGTTCATTTAAGTATAATTTATTTAAAGCTAATGAGCCTTTAGGAAGGCAGTTTATTCTTTTTCAGAAGCTATATGCCTAGAGGTCTTTGCTATGCTATTGACACATTCAGTCCTATTAGTTTCTGCAGCTTGCTAACCTTGGTTTTGTTAGTGTACTGGTTATTTGTTGGCCTTCACCTGAACCCTACCGTGGGAAGGTGTTACCCTCTGATGATTACTTATTACTACTTCCTTCATACCCAATAATCTATCTATTTCTATTTTAGGTTATTCCAAAGTTGTCAACTTATTTTGACAGTGTATTACTTTTCAGCATTCTATCTGTGCAACCCATTTTTGAACTAAAGTAATTTAAAATGTTTCCAAATAAATACTATCTCTACTTCTGGACCCATTTTCACCTATTTTGTGGGTGTGTTTTTTGCAAGATTTACAACTTTATTCATACTAAACATATTATTCTAAAAAGTAAAAAGTCCAAAATTGCCCTTAAACTTTGCGAAATGGTTTTAAGGCCTCATTTGTTTTCATTAAAATTTAGACGTCTGAATCTGAATGCACATCTAAATAATTAAGATGTTATCTCTAGATTTGAACATTGAATGATTAAGATTGCTTGTTTTCAACAACTGAATGTACATAATTTATTTATATGTACATAATAAATATACAATTCAAATAAAAAATAAAATATTTAAAGGTGGCTGGTGGTGGTGGCATTGGATATAATCATAATGATAAAGAAGATAAGTGTGGTAGCACCTGCTAGTAATAGTTTGCAAGTGGTGGTTGGTGGTAGACGAGGCAATGGTCGTTGACAATAATGGTGGTGGTGGTGATGACAGAGGTGGTTAGTAGTGGTGGTTGTTGTGATGGCAGAGTGGTGGCTGGTGATTGTGGATAGACCTCTTAATCATATTAAGACACTGTTCTAGATCTTAGTGATTAAGACATATCCAAGCCCGTTAAGTGCTTAAATCTTAATAAAAACAAATGCACTTAATGGTCTAATGTCTGAATTATTCATATTCAAACCTCCAATAAGTGCAAATAAATGAGGCTTAAGTTTGCCCTCCATAAATAGTTGGGTCAGATTCGCCCCTCCTATTACTAAAATGGGTTTAATTTGCCTCTATTGACTAACGTCGAAGGTTTTGCAAAATGTGGACATTTTCTCAACTAAAAAAGGGTCAAATTAGCCCTTCAATTGTACGAAATTGTCCAAATTTGTCCTTGAAGTTTGCGAAATTGTTTAAGTTCGCCCTCCATTAATAGTTGGAATCAGATCTACCCCGTTGTCACAAAAATGGGCTAAATTTCCCCTTATTGACACAATGAAGGCTTACATGGACATTTTTACAAAGGAAAGGGGCGAATCTAGTCCATAGTGTAACGATGAGGGTAAATCTGACCATGAATGTTAACGAAAGACAAATCTAGACCATTAGGCATCAATCTACCCCTCAAAGGGTCCACAAGATTTCCTCAGCATAGCAGGGCAAAAAGAGTGGTTAGAACCAGAACCGGCCTAATACAACCCAATTGCCCACCTATACAAAAATGAAGCTTCATTCTTCAATTAACTCATGAGCACGTTCAATAATCTCCAATGTATTAAATTAGGGAATGGTATCAGGAAGACAATTGAATCTGCTTCTTTGGTCCATCCATCATATGTTGGTTAATCTATAATGTGGTTTCTTGGAGTAATCCAATTTTGCATTTTGGAAGTACATCACTACTTCCTACTCTATACATATTCCTAGGTACCTTTGCCTTGGCGTGCTTTCAGTAAGGTAGTAAAAGCATCTATGTTGAGGCAAAACTACACAACTTTTTACCAATTACTCCTACAAGATTTTAGCTAAATCCATTCAGATATACTGCAAACTTGACATTCATTTTTGTACCTTCTCTATAGGAGATATCATCTCATCTTTTTTTTTTTCTTCACTTGAACTTTAAAATTTCTATTGCCCTAACTTAATGACTATTAGTTATAAGTCGTAAGCTATACGCCCCATCCAAACATGCTCTTAAATTTTGCTATTGACAACAAACTCGTCCTCTAAGTAAACACAACGAATAGATGAACTACAATCCATAATGAAAACGAATTACAATTTTTTTTTAAAATGAACAGTTCTGATGATTTCACATTAAAAAACCTATATTAGCACAAACAACCAGGATAAATTTGTAAAACGGATATAGATACTGTATTAATCCTCCACCTATTGGCAAACTGATGCAGGAAAATTTTCCTAGCTGCTTCAAATTCATCTTTAAAAATAGAACTGGTGTTAAATCACAAGGTTTAAAGTGTATTTACCTGCTGCAGCTTCGACCGAAGCCGTTTAATGTTTGAGATTCCGGTAAGAGGCCAGAAATGGCTTTGCAAATTCCGGCACATTCACCTGCGGTGGAGGAGAAGGGACAATTGAATTGGAAGGAGCCATTTGATAAAAATTTAGGGTTTTAGAGGAAGAGTTTTACCTGCCATTAGAGCAGAAATTGAAGCAGGGATTCTGGGCTTCATTTTCATTAGGGGATTTGCAGGAAGGGACTCTCATTAAGAGCAAATAACACTGGCACATATGTTTTACATGTTACAAAATATGCCCTATGACTTTGCATTTGGTACGTGCGCACCCAAATCGCACTCTCATGCAATTTATTAGGATACGTGTTTTTTATTAATAAATGTAATGTATAGATATGCGATATATTGAGAAGTTGACTGATATATCCAGATAAATATGTCGTGTATTAATAAAGATAATGTATCAAAACGCGATGTAATGACATGCTGAGTAATGTATTCGAAAACTTTAAATTTTAAGAGATTTTTGTAATTTGAAAAAAAAACAAGGGTAAAATGTAATTAGCTTTTAACACTGTGGGATTTGTGTGATTTTTACAAAAGTTAATTCATATCATATGTTAAAAGTGTGGTTCATCTATGTCATTTTCATTTTAAAAAAATTATGCATGCCATTATTTAGTATTTGAAATGGTATAAATGAGTCAAAAACTTTTAACAAATGACATAATGAGTTTTTCTCAAAGTTTGATATCATATTTAAGTTTTTTTAATTTATGAAATGATTTAATTAATGACGTGAACGAATCATGATTGATCACTTGTACAAATAATTTTACAAAATCAAAATTATACTCAATTAACAAATAATTACATGGACAAACCTTCTCAAACATAAATGACATATGAATCAAACTTTTAACGGATTTCATAAATAAGTTTTTTCTCAAAATTCGATATCTTATCCATTCTAACTCGTCGTCTTAACATCCTTATAGTAGCAATTGTTTTACTTAATTATCCTTCGTAATATACTTTGAAATTTAAATTTGAATGCTATTATTTTGTATATTTATTTAATAATAAGAATAATTAATAATAAATCTCTCTCAAATTATTAAATACAAACAAATTAAAAAAATCAATTGACAATCACTAATTTTAATTCGAGTTAAATGAATCCATAAAACAAAGGCATAATACATATATTGAAGTCTAAACTTGACTTCAAATTTCAACTTTGACCTCCAACTTTCATAATGGACAAACATTCACTTTAACTATCTAACTTTAAATAAATAAATACATGAGTCCTATATGGCACATACACGTAGGATACCACGTAGTCCTATGTGGGATAGTGTGTCTATTTGTTCAACTTTATACAAATTTAAGTGTCTACTTGTGCACACCCAAAGTTAAACTTAATTCAGAATTTTGATTTTTTTTATTTAAAAATTTGATGATGTGGCCAATTATAATCCGGCCACGTCATCAATTTATTTACTATTTGCGGCAATTTATGTTATTATAAAATTTAGAATAATATAATTTATATTAAATAAAAAATTTGAAAAAAATTATATATCATGAAATTATATGGGATGATTAAAAAATTATATTATAAAATAAAAAAGAAATAAAAATAATAATACAATATCGAGAAAGAGAATATGATTTTCTTTTAGAGAGTAAAATAGAGAATTGAGTTGAATTTGATTGTCTAAAAAAATTAAAAAACTCTATATTTGAAAAGTAAAATAGAGAATACTGTTGAATAACTATTATTCAATTCTATAAATATAAAAAATAAAATAAATAGAGGTGAATTAGTCCTTCTCTATTTTATGCTTCAATTATAAAAAAAAATTAAGTGTAAAATAAAAATGTATTGATTTATCGTATATTTCTTTTAGTTCGTTCGATCTTTATCGTGAATTAATATATTTTCAGTATGCTTGCCAGTAAAAATGTGATTTTGACCGATATTGATAGACAAGTTCCAGCATTCAAGGTACTGCACGAGGTGCAGTAAGAATTTAAATATTGTAATGCATGAATCAAGGACAAGTGACAGTGACAAATTATAATTATATTTGGTGGCAGAATATATAACCTATCATTTAATTTGAAAACTTATAAATTCTAATTATATTTGGTGTATAAATGGTTACTTAGATTTATTAAAAATTGAATAAGTAGAATAAATAAGTTGCCCTTTTTTATTTGATAATTGACGGGCCCCTGTGGTTGCAAGCTGGAGCTGTGCGGTGGGAATGAGCTTCTCAAGAAGCCAGTTCGTTACTGATCTGAAACTTAGCACTTATTTTCTTATTGATTCTCGGGAAATATTATGTAAGACATATATTTATTTGTATAATTTTATATAAATTTTTAGTATATATATATATATATATATATTAAATGAGACTACTTTTATGAGCATATTCATGTGTTATATCTGGTTTGTTTTATCAATGTATTATAAAAGCCTAATTATTATTTTTCTCAATTTAGTATTTTATTTCGTTCAATTTAATAAAGTGTCTATTTTTAATGATTAGTTTTTTTCTTTAAATGTTTTCTTTTGTAAGGAATTAAAAAACTAAATATACATGTTGTGCATAACAATTTACGTTTACATGATATTTTACGTGTAATATGTCACATGATATTTATTTGTTTAACTTTATACAAATTTAAATATCTACTTATATGTAATTGAAAGATCATAAATACTAAATAAAACCAAGTTTATGAGCATATTTGTTTATTCTTCTTTGTTTAATTAATTTGTCAGTGTTTTTCTACTTCTCCACTTTTAATTTTCATGTTCCATTTTCGAAAGTCAATTTAATTAATTTTAAAAATTAAATTAGATTATATTAATTTGATATTCTAAACAAAAAAAAATTAAATTTTTAAAAAATTTCACTGTATTTTAACTTTACTTTCTAATCAAATTAAGACACTTCAATTACATCAAAAAAAGTAATAACAATAACATTTATTACTACATCAACTCATACATATTTTAATCTGACTTGACGATATTTCTAACGAAACTTAAAATATGTACATAAACTAGTCATTCTAATTCCCACATTCCAAATATAAAACGAAACAAAAAGAGTTGAGTAATATATTCAAAAGCAATATATAATGTCATATTATTATATTTCTAAGACAAAAGCCAAGATACAATGGTACTATGATTTTGGTTATTAATTTCCATTGTTGTTGCTTCTTCATAATTATTATTATCATTGGTGCAATTTTGAAGTAAGTTAGTGTCAGTATCGTCCCATTGTGGCCAACTGGGAACTATATCCGTTTCTAATTCCCATGGTAACGTTGGCCATACTAACTCATCATTATCTTGCCAATCCATTAATAATTTGATTTTTTCATCGTCGCTTGATATCTTTTTATTACCTTCCTCGATACATGAATAACTATTCCCTACATTATTGCTCGTTACTTCTTCTCTGAAACAATTCAATATGAAATTTGTGTTCTTATCTTCATCATCAATCACCACGTCTGGCATAATCTCCTCGAGTCTTGGCCATTCGATATCACTATCTGCTCAGACAAAAAAAAATAAAAATTTAAAAAAATTAAAAAATATATTTATTTATTGCTACAGTTTAAAATTTTGTACATACAAGAGGTGCTAGATTCAATTATTTGTGCCTAATAATTGAAAATAACAAAAAGTACTTCGCAACGTCTATCCATAGATAGATATTGGATCTAAAAGGTACATATAAAAAATGACGTTTCAAAAGAAAAGAAAGACGTGAAAATTAAATTTTAAGTTTTTTGATAAAATAATCATATATTTCAATATATAAATATTATGTCGTCATAGTCACTATTGAAAATGTATTTAATTGATTAATAAAAACTATTAGAGGGTGTTTGATCTTTTTCGCTTTTTTCGATAGTTAAAACTCAGAGAATCATATTTGACAATAAAATTTCAATTCTTTAAAGAAAAAAAAAGGTTTACTCGAAATAATTGAGGAAAAAATGAAAAAAACAACTCTAATTCATATTCATAACCAAACACAACTTAAATAAATTTTGAATATTATTTTTCACTTTAATATCAAAAAATATTTTTTAAAATCAAATTTCACAATAAAAAATAGTCAAAACATCGAAATTTGTACCTGAACTAAGGCTTCCCTTGGCCTCTATAGGTCCTGCCCAAGAATTTGGCACCTCTATCTTTGCTAGATCTTCTTGCATTAATTCCATGGCACTATCACAAGCTGGCATATTTGTACAACACAATGCTTCTTTTTCTAATAAGTTTGACTTTTTATTTTTTGGTCGACTAATCGATGATTTTTTAATTGGCTTCGGTATACCTTTTTTAGCCAAATCAACTACGGCTTTAGGTAACTTCTCATCGCTTGGTATCCTTAAGCTATCAACTTTTCGACTTAGATGAGAGTTCCAATAGTTTTTTATCTCATTGTCTGTTCTACCTGATAAATGTTCTGCTATAAGAGACCATCTGTAATTTTAAAAAGTCGATGATACTAGAAAATGTTAGAAACTAGATCGATGGTATATTGTATTAATCAATCATATTTAATGTCACAACTCACAACTAACACATCTTTTCTAAATTTTTTCTTTGTTGAAATTATTTGATATATTTGTGTATACATCCAACTTAAGATACGTTTTCTAGTTTGAAAAAATACTTTAAATTGTCACTGTTTTATTTTCTAGACTTGGTATATGACTAATAATAGAAAGGATGAATTGTTTTTAAAGCATGAATATGTCACTCGTCATATGAAAAAGAAAAAAAAAAGAGTAATATTGAACTTACTCGAGGGGACCAATTTAATTAACTTATTAATTCATTAGCACAAATAATGAATGTAGAAAATAATACCCTACAAATTAAAGTGACCAAAACTTTTCTCCTTTTTCCAGGCAAACATAACTATAAACTATTAAGTACTGGAGTAAACATGAAATAAAAGAAGAAGAAAAATTCATTTGTTTTATGTGATGAATTCAAGTAGTAAAAAAGAAGTGATGAATTTAAGTTAATTATAATTGCATTGATCTCACTTTTATTTATTAGGGCATCTACTTCAATCAATTATACCATTGACCTAGTTTAATTTAACACGATATTTAAGAAAATAAAAAAAATTATTAATTTTATAAATCTAAATTAAAATTATGTCAAATAAAGCAAAGTATTATATGATATTAAACTTATCACACGAACAACAGCTGAGATTAAAATATATCTGAAAGTAAAAGAAATCATTCTTTTTTTAAAAAAAAAGATTATTTTTTTAAGCAAATGGAATATTATTTACCTAAAACATATTATTTATTCTTTCTCTAGCTCGAATCCATTAATATTATTTACCTAAAACATATTATTTATTCTTTCTCTAGCTCGAATCCATTACACTATGTTATCATGAATAGTAATAATTTTGATGAGTAATTTTGTTGTATTAAATTTGGTGTAACACTATTCACACACTAAAATGATATAAGAAGTGTTGTTAGATCGGGCACCAAATTATTGTGACAATGTTTATAACCTAAAATGAGTTTCAGATTTATTTTTAAAGAAAAAAATACTTCTTGCGTATAAAAAAGAATGACCTATTTGACTTGAAACGGATTTTAAGAAAAGAAAGAAGTGATTCTAAATTAAAGTTATGTCAAATGTATCAAACTATCTCTAATTTTATAATTTTAAAGATGTCATGTGAAAAATTAAATTTAACATATTACTAAAAAAAAAGTCATTCTTTATAAAACAGACTAAATAAAAATAAAATTATTATTTTTTAAACGAAGAAAGTACTTGATTTTAAAGGAGACATTTTTTTCTGGACCTAGACTAAAAAGAAACAAAATGAGTGGTTTAATTAGCAAGCTAAAAAGTCCAATCAAGTAATTGACTAATTACCTGTTACCCAAAGTTGCATGTAACTTTATAATTATATCTTCCTCTTGAGAAGTAATGTTCCCTCTCTTGAGATCAGACCTCAAATAATTAATCCATCGTAGTCTACAACTCTTTCCGCATCTCAATAATCCTTCGAAATAAAATATTATAAAAAAACTGTTAAACGAAGAAAAAAATTTTAAATTTCAAATTAAAATAAAAGATTAGTAGGTAATCGTACCGGCATTTTTAGGTAACGACCTCCAAGAGCCTTCTCCATTAGAAATAATATAATTAGTGAGAATTTGATCTTCTTCTGCAGTCCATCTGCCTCTCTTGATGCCCACTTTTTCACAACAAGGTGTTCTTCCCATTATTATTATTATCACAAAATGGAGAAGCAAAAGGCAATGAAAATTAGTCTCATTTCACCAATAGAAATGCCAATAAATAGAGAGACAACACAAATAAATGGACCCCGCTCTTCACTTTAGTCTAGTTAATTTTATGTGAACTTAATAACGTACCAAAGGTTGACTTAATAAGCTTTTTTGCATTGCATGTCACTCTTTGATAAAAGAAGAGTTAAGATTTTTAATAAAAAAAAATTTAAAACTTAAAAAAATAAATGTATAAAATAATTGAAGGGAATTTGATATTTATTGTATATTATAAAAAAAAATCATTTTAATTATGTACAGATAATAATATTTTTCATTAAAAGAGGTGAATCCTCTGATAAATTGCTAGCTCCATCCTAAATATAATCATCGTTATAATCTAATAAATATTTCTTTATTCATAATTAGAACACTTTGCTTCATATATATATATATATATATAAAAGACTTTTTTATGCTAATTTTTCTTTAACCAGGTAGATGGGAGTCATAGTGGGTGGTGATTACTCTATGATTTTACTTAATAAAAAAATTCCTTTTCCTTCATTGTAAATTATCGCATTTTTTAATTCATTTGTAGTAATGTAATATCTTTATGTGTTTTTAAGATCTTGAGCTTAATTTGTTCTACGTTATATTTGTTTCAATTAATACCAATATAATCAAGGTTATTCGATGACGTTGCTAGCTATCGACATCGGATTTCAGAACTAATTCTATTTACTTAACGTATTTATGTCTCGTTATAAATATATATTTGTTATTTCATTTTAATTTGCCCATTCATTAATCAAAATATAGTATACAAATCACGTGTTTGTGACTATCTTAATCCTTATATATGTCCTTGATTGAAGTCTATAAATCTAAATAATTGTACCGTTTTAAGGTTAAACATATTCGATACCCTCAATTTCGATTGTTCTAAAATTTTATTTTCAAACCTCGAGTATTATTATTTAAAAATCAAATAACGTACTCTATTCGCTCCCTTTCGATCAACATCGTTGCTTTCTTAGAGTCAAATGATAAGAAATTTAATTAATATTTTTTAGATGTTTTTATTATATATTGATATAAAAAAAATATAATTATGTGACATTTTATATAATTTGTATCAAATAAATATAACCTAATTTAATTTTGAAATTAACTAAATTAATTTTAAAAAACGCAACATCCAAGGGCAGAGCCACCCTTTGTCCAATCCCTTTGCCGAAAAAATTTCATCATATATAAAGCTAAAAT